TGGTGTTGATGTACTTTCATTCTGGCCATTGTTGAGTGTTTGATCTAGATCTACAGCTGCTCTGTTCATTCCCATTTCTCTGAAGCTCCAATCAATCAACAGTCGTGGAAGCAAATGACAAACAACACAATTTGAATAACAAATCCTAGCTTAGATCTGCAATTCTACTGGAAAAACTGATAAATTGGTAGCTTAGATCTGCAATTCTACTGAAAAACTGATGAATCTGTGAATTGAATACTCAATTCTTTTATCCAAATACTAATCACCTTCCACAGAGATTGTTGTGGATGGCTCTGATACCATGAACGTAAGTGAAAACAAGCAGAATTAACAGAAAAACTCCATTAACAAAGAGCTAACATTGAAGAAGAGAAACTCTCATTGTTTGAGTTCAAAGACTAACTAATACATTAGTGTAAGACTAGTATTTATAGCTCATTCCTATTACATTGAGTAACTAACTTCTAGAACCTACTAACAAAAAGTTAGTTATAACTAACTAATTGAGAAAGACTAATCTGCCCTTTATTAATCCTAACAGCTTTAACTTGTGCTCTTCTTGCTTCATCATCAGCTCATATTTCAACATATTTGATTATGTTGGCGCATAGTATATGTGGCTTTTTGTATTGTATCCTACTCAACTTTTCCCTTGTGCTATTTTATTGTTAACTTTGGTCAATTTTTCGGTGATGATAAAATGGTCTCCGTGTTAACTGGATTGTCTTAACCCCTAGGCCACTAAAGTCGTTGCTTGGGGCCCCTATTGATTTTTGGTCAATATTGATAACGAAATCATAAAGTCCCTTGAAATTAGAGTTGATTACTTTATATATATAGATAGATAGATAGTAGTTCAAGTTATTTTTTCACTTCAAAGTAGATTTGAACCAATTGAAACATGTGAAAATACTTCTGGTTTCTTATTTAGTGGCAAATTGAGATCACTAGATGATGAGAATTTAAAAAAGGCATTGTCTTAATCTTGAACTTTCTTTAACACATAATAGTTATTCTGATATTGATGGTTTAGATTTATTTTTTGAATTAAAAGTGTTAAGAGAAATAATACAAATAGAAGATAATGATCTAATAAAAATATTCAATCAAATAAAAAGACTTGATTCTTTTCCAAATACACATATTTCTTTTAGAATAATGTTAAAAGTTCATGTAACCATTGCCTGAGCCGAAAGAAGTTTTTCAAAACTAAAATTGATTAAATCTTATTTAAGATCAACAATGTCTCAAAAGAGTTGATTGAATGGATTAGCTATATTATCAATTAAAAATGAATTATTAAAACAAATCAATTATACAACAGTAACTAATTAATGACTTCACATGTTAAAAAACTAGAAAAGTAGGTTTTAAATAAAAATATATATAGTGAAAACAACAAAATATTAGGACCCCTCTCTTAGATTTTGCTTTAGTCCCCTTGTCTTGTTGAGTCGGCCCCGTCCGTGTAAAAAAAGGGAGCAATGCAAGATACTTGGGTTAAGCCACTAAACTAAAGATAGCTAAAGGTGACATATTGAAGCTTTAATTAATTTCCTTAATGAGTTAATCCTCTACTCCTAAAAGGTTTTTATATCTAGTTACTCTGATTACTATAAGGTTTCCAAAATAAACAACTTATATCTAATTACTCCCATTCCTATAATTATACAATCTTATACATTATTCTACAAAAATAGATAGACTTCGTCTTTTTCTTGAATCCAAACATCATATTCATCGAACAATACCTCAAAAAACTACACTAAATCACCCAAACATTTCATATTTAGACTCCTCAATTCGTAATTGACCTTTTGGAACAAAATCCACTCGAAACAAAGCTTAAATGCAAAAATTTGATTTCCAAACTTTGAAGCTTCGAACTTCAATAATGGTTGAACACCAATTTTCTGTTGAATTTATGAAATAAAAATTAATAAGAATATGTTGTTAGTAATAGTGGAGTTTTATTATGAAACAAGGATGTAAGTTGATTGAGAAATGAGAAGGAGATTGAAGCTCAATTATTGAAAATTTCTAGTAAATATTTGGCATACAATTTTAGTCGACTCTTTAAAACATAGTTATTTTGTTCCTTTTAATTTTTAGGCGGCAATTTGGCTGTCCTTTTTAACCTATAGGAAACACCACTTTATTATTTGGAGTTTGTTTTGCATTCCTTTTCTCATCCTTTTCTTCTCTTCCCAAAAATTAACTATGAATATATATCATATGGTGTGTTTGGTTTTTCACTTAATTGTGTTAAGACCAAAATGCATAGTCCCTTAAAGTTGGCACGAGATATCATTGGTCAGAAGTAAAGTTTAGTGTTAAATTAACATTTCGTGCCAGCTTTGAGGGGCTCTCTCTGTAAGTAATTAATTCGTGTGTATATATTTGATTATTTTGACGTATAGTATTTCATGCCAACTTTAGCGCTACCTTTTTGCAATCTGCTCATCATTAGAGCCCGTTTGGCCATGTGATATGGTATCATGATATGGTATCATGATATGGGATCATGAGATGAAATTGAAGTTTTGTTTGGATATGCGTTATGAAATTTTTGTGTTGTATATTTTCTCATAAACATAAAAATCCCATAAGTTGTATAACTATTAAAATAACCCCAATTGTTTATTCAATCTTATCAAATAAACAAAAATTTATAAAATCTCATAATAAATTATTACAAAGCTATTTGTTCTCCAGTTAAGTAATTGTTTCATCTAACTTTAATTTAGTTTTTTAAAAAATGAACATAAATTGTAGTATACTAGTCTTTAATATAATCCTCCCACATAATACGGACAATTTTCTCACGTTGAACTTGCATTTCTCAATCATGTGACCGAGAAAACGAACCAACATTGTTACTTTGAGCCATTTGTTGATCAATATCATCCGCAACTATATTTTCATGCTTATAGACCATAAATATTTCATCACTTTAACAATCGGTTGGTGTGAGTTAAAGTGACTATATGTTGGTGAGAATAATAAATTTTATGCCGGTGAGAATAATAAATTTTAAAAAGTAATGATGTGATTATAAATTTTATTTACATATGAAATAAATGGTTAGTAGATATAAATGTGGGGTTGTTTAAACAAAATATGAACTTGTGGATCAATTTTTGTATTAAAAATATCTCAAATCATGATATAGAATTACCATATAATTCCATATCATGGTTTTTGGAGAATATGAAATCACATCTCATGATATGGAATCATGAGATAGAATCAACATAAAATCGCATGTCCAAACGTTGATTCCATCTCACGATACCATATTGTGATATGGAATTGTATGGCCAAACGTCTACTTAATTTCCTTAATGGGTTAATCCTCTACTCCTAAAATGTTTTTATATCTAGTTACTCCGATTACTATAAGGTTTCCAAAATAAACAACTTATACTACAAATATATCTAAACCTTTTCCGTTTTAATTAATTAGCACATCCATTAATTTCCTTAATCCTACTCCTAAATGGTTTATATATCTAATTACTCCCATTCCTATAAGGTTTCTAAATTAACAACTCTTATATATATATATATATATTAAAACCTCTAATTGTGCCTTCTACAAAACCTTCAATTCAACACCAATACACCCAACAACAAAAAATGGCAAATATTACTAATTACGTAGTGATTGCAATAGTCTTTTTTCTTATTTTGTTATTTTTCTATAAATTTACGAAAATGTTGTTGTGTTATAGAGTTAAACAACGACCATGGTTGAACGATGTAGAAGAATTCGTGCTTCCTAACGATGAAGATGAATTTGTATCGACAACAGAAAGAACAACATCTATTGTTGAAGTAGTGATTGATATTTCAGATGAAGCAATAACGACTCCATCAATTAAAGGGAAAAACAATGAGTGTTCTATTTGTATTGAAGAAATTAAGCATTGGGAGATGTTTTTGATTTTTCCAATTTGTTGTCATAGGTTTCATTATGCTTGTATTAGGCCTTGGTTAGAAGAAAATAAGACATGTCCTATTTGTCGTACTCATGTTCGTGATGCACCTTTGCAATATGCTGGGGATGGCGATGATTTAAAGGAGGACGATAATCATCAAGATTTACAGTCTAGTGAAATAGTTTGAAATTTTCACACAATAGGTGTATGAGTTTTTTTTCGTTCTTCTTTCTTTTAGTGGAGGGGCTGGGTGGGGTGAGTAGGAGATGTTTTTCCTAAATCTAATTGTAATAATTTTTAAAATTTCAATCACGTGTGTTTGAATTATTATTTTTTTGTAAACTATAGGAAATTAAAGTATTCTAGATAATTCACCTCGTAATCTCCTCTCAATTTCCGCCCTCTTTTGTGAAAAAGATATCACCATTAGAGATTGTGCAATGGGGAACTAATAATTCAGGGTGGTGTACTAGCTAGGAGAGCTTTTTTATGCGGGATGAAACTGTTCTTAAAAAAATCAAAAGCAAGATGAGGTGGGAGGCAAGTTAAATGTTTTTTTAAAAAATAAATAAATTAAACCATATAGTAAATTTTATTCACACTTTGAGCTGCAGTGAATTAAAAAGTGATTACAACAACATACCTAAGTGAATTAATAACTAACACAATATACCTATATAATCCCACAAAATTTTTAAAAATGATAGCTTTTATAAAATTTGTTAAGTTAGAGGACATAGAAATACACATACAAAATTAAATCTATTTTTTTATGAAATCACACATAAAAATATTTTATTAGAAAAAAAATAATACATAATTTTATTATATGCTTTTCCTTAATATGTCGGAACTCCTATTCCTAAAAAGTTTCCTAAATTTTTTTAATTCCCAATCCAAAAAGACTCAAGACATATGTTTTTTTCCAATCGGTTAATCCTAATCCCAATCCTAATAGGTTTCTAAATCAAGACTTTAATTATAAACCCTTCCCTTCCCTTTTTCCTATATTCAAAACCCTTGCTTGACACTTCTTTTAAGTGTTTTTCATATAAATTTTTAATCCACATCGAAAATAATACTATTAAAATGATGTCAATTAATCCTTATATTGTTCTGATTTTCTTAGCCTTGTTGTTATATGTGATCATAATGTCAACGATATATATTCGTAAGAAATCACTACCAGATTCAAACTATGTCTCGCGAATCGCGCCAGCTGGTGTTGTGGCAACATAAAGAGTTCAGGCAACCCCATGTCCAATGGTAAAATCATCTATCGAAGTAGTGATTGATATTTTTGATGATGAAGAAGGAACAAGGTCCGAGCAAAGAATTGTAGGCATAAACAGTGATTGTTGTATCTGCTTAAGTGAATTTGAACAAGACGATACTTAATGCTTGCGGTCATAGGTTTCATTCTGCTTGTATTATTCCTTGGTTTGATGAGAACAAGGCATGCCCCATATGTCGAACTCATGTTAATGTCGTGACATGTACTATGAATGATGCATAAAATCACTTCATGTTAACCAAACACTATCAAACAGATTGATCATTATATTACTCCTAGCATTAAGAGTGATAAAATCTCGTAAAACAAATCCATATCCAGATGACATTTGTAAAAGACAAGTTGACCTACTATACAGTTTGTTAGGAAATGAAAGGCATAGTTCGTTTAAAGCTCACTTGAATAGAGACACTCGTCTACAAGCTGGCGAAGATTTGGGTTCTCCATGGCAGCAGCAACCCGTTCTTTATCATTCAACTGCTTATTAACTGCAAGTCAATGGTAATACAAAATGCTTAAACACAAATCTGAATGACCAGTGGTGAAATTTACTCCAGAATAGAACTAATACTAGATGCATTTTGCAGGTTAACTTGTCATGACCTTGTGGCATCATTGTGAACAGACTCACTAGTCTGTGTTTTCAACTCAGTTGAGAAGTTTACACATATTTCTCAATGCCCATTATAAGATCATAATTCATAATTCATAAGACTTGTATGTTGTACCTATGCCGCAATTAAAAGTTTCATTTCCTATACAAATAAAATTATAGGTACTCTAAAATTAACTCTACCTGACTCTTCATCCGCATGAGATCCAGGAGACACTTTTATATCCACCTGTCACACAACAAAAATAAGGAGTTAAGAGAAAATCAAATATATAAAAGTTGTGCATCACACTTTAGCAGTGCAAGTCAATTTTTAGATAGCACAATCTTAATTATCTTCCAGGAATTCATCGAATATAGGGAACATAGTTTGAGGAGAGCTTGAATTTAGATAACAAAAGCAACCATTATCACAATGATCCACTGTATTGTTTTGTTTTATATATCATATTATAAAGTTAAAGAAACAATACTATCTATTATTTTGAAAAGGTCTCATTGTTTATTCAGAGATGACCATTCCAATTATGTGAAAAAATCTAACTAGGTATCAAAACTGCTATTATACAAATTAAGATCTTATATACTTTGTTTAGACCACTTGAACTCCAAAGGCGACCCTCTCGAGTTTTCGGCTGTTTCCGTCATTGAAGTAGCCTTTCGTCGCCCTACCAAACGAAAGAAGTCACTATCAAACTTGTAGACTTGCTTTGCCGCGGAAAGCTCAAGTGAAAACCTATTAGAACTATGGGCCTCACCTCTAAGAGGGTAAGGGTAGTGAGGCTTAGATTCCATAGACTTCAACCTGCACTGGGTTTTAGTTAAGCCTACATCCATTTTAGAGTTGAGGTTGCACTTTATGAATAGATCTCCTTACCATATATCTGTCTCTCTTCCCACTCCCCCGCCCACCCACCCTCTCCTTTTTTTCACACTCTGTCTAATTTCCTCCGCTTTAACTCTCTCCAAACTTCAAAATCTCAGCATAGCAAATATATGTCGCAGATGTAAAATCTGTAAGAGGTGGCTGGCTTCTTAACATGTCATTTGATTTTACAAGGAAAGTTACAACATCGGAAATAGACTCTCTGTACCTCTAAGGTAGGAGTAAGGTTTGCGTACTCTACCCTCCCTAGACCCCACTTTGTAGGACCACACTGGCTATGTTGTTGTTGTAATCACGGAAGCAAGATTATTAGATGCGTAGATCAGAATTAAAGAGATTTTTAAACTACACCTTCTTTGTTATTCTTGCAAGTAGTTATTGCAGGATGCTCCTTGAAAGTAAAAGTACACCCGTGTGCTCTTTCCAAGTTAATAATACACCATTTTTACTTTGCTCATTTGAATACATACACTCCCTTACTCGTTAAAACACGGAATCCTCTGCTAAGTATATGGGAGATGTTTCGGAAAAGTCTAAAACTAGATATTCTTTCCTCAGATTAATTAAGTCAATAGACTACTATCAACAGCCAAAATCTAACACGACCTTATTTCGATCCAAGTCAGAGATAAGGAACGCCACCTTAAAATGTGGAGGGAAGCAATTCTTCAACTTCTCTCTCAAACAGAGGCCAATGACAGTTGCCATGGTACAGTGCTGGATGGTTGGGGTGAAAGTTATCCTGCAAATAATTTTAAGAAAACGTAGATAAATAAGCAAAAGAAACATGAGTCAAGGAATTATGAGTAACTTGTTCATTATTCCCTCTGTTCCAGTTTGTTTGGAATAATTTGACTCCGCACGAAGTTTAAGAAAATATGCAGACTTTAAAACTTGCTGTTTTTAAATGTCATTACATTTATGTGGCTATAAAAGATTTTCGTTAAATTTATTTGTTTTCTAATATAGAAATGTATCAATCTTTTAGGGATGGACTCATAAGAAAACAGTGCCAAACAAAATGGAAATATTAAGGCTCAAGTCTAGTTTACAAAGTTAGAAGCTATTTTGCTCAAATCTTGTATTTTTGGGGTTCTTCTGCCCTATTTTGCTAATCACAGAAACATATTTGTTTACCATAACTTATAGGAAATTGCACGAATCTAGGATATTGTCAACTCAAGATAATGAACCAGGTAACTGTTTCCACATTAGTAAACACGAAATCTTTGGACATAAGATGTATATTCTGGTAAAATTGTATTGAATTTATTCATCAGTTTCAAATTCCACAAAGCGTAAATTAAAGCATAACTCGGAGTACTTGACATCACATTGCTAGTAGAGTAAAATAAGGGTGGTGAAACTCCAAAAAAAAAAAATAGTTACCTCAACAAAGTTGGAAGTCCAACTCATTTCATGGCAAAACTGTTCATGAATTCCAAACAATACAACAATAACAACCTACCCATTGTAATCCCACTAGTGGGTTGGGTTCTGGGGAGGTAACCCCTGCCTCGCAAAGGTAAGAGAGTTTGTTTTTGAAAGACCCTCGGGTCAAGTATAGCAAATCAAAGTAGTTATGAGAAAGAAAACATGACAACTAATAAGGAAAGCAATACAGAGCATTCAGAAAAAAAAAACAATTAAATGAATTCTAAGCAGTGAGCACGAAAAAATTAACTCCAACACAAATACGCTGGATTTTCAACAGTGACTAGAGAGAAGATGATCACTGGGTATGTTGTTGTTTTTGTCGTGACCAGAGTGAAGATGACTTATATGACTAACTATAAGTTTACACGACTCACCAATCAGTTAATCGAACAAGATATGGCTAAAACACGTCACGTTTCTCTCCTTTTTCCTCCCTTATTTGGAAACGAAAAGAATAAACAAGCAATATTTTATTTGGATATATAATAAACAAGGTAATATAAGAATCGAAGGTCACAATGAACATACAGAATGCGCCCAAGCTTCTCGTCAACAGTTATGGACTCCTCGGAGAGTACACTCAGCTGCTCTAAAGAATATGGATGCTCCGGATCTCTTATATCCCTCACAAAATGTATCCACTTTTAAATCAAGGATCACATCAACTTCAGACTCAGTAGATTCAACAAACAATTAAATTACAGAAAATCAAACTCTAAATTTCACCCAATAAAAAAAACAGAGATATGGCAAAAAATGATCATAGTAAATTCACAAACATTTAAACTACAAAAAATTGCAATTCCAAATTTTAGTACATAATAAAAAGTGGAAAACAAAATATGAACAAACCAAATGATATACCTAAGTTTCTTCCTGTTCTTACTCAATTTTTCCAGTAGAAATCTTCAGCTAAAACAACGTAATTTTGAAATTGCAACTAGAACTCCAATTTAGCTGAAACATTCAAAAACAAAGCACACACACACACAGGAATAGCAAAGAGGATGACATTAAATTCACAAACATTTGAACTACAAAAAATCGCAATTCCAAATTTTATCAACAAACTAAAATTTGAAATAGCTAAGTTACTCCTTTTTTTTTCTTACTCATTTTCTCCAGTAGAAAATTTCAGCAATGAACTCCGATTTAGCTGAGCATTCAAAACACAGAGAAATCGCAAAAAATTGTAAAAATCGAGAGAGAAATTCACAATCTACAAAAAAAACACAGTAACTCCAAATTTCAGCAAATCAACATACTAAAACTGAAAAAAAATAGCTAAGTTTCTTCAAATTTTCTACCAGAGTCGAAATTACAGCTATGAACTCCGATTTAGCTGAAGCATTATAGGAGAGAGAAGAAAAGGATATCATAAATTTCGAGAGGATCAACAGCGTCATCGGCGTGAGGAAGATCATCAACACGAGCGATTCGTTCCTTCTTAGCGTGAACCACTGGATTTGCATTGATCAGTCCCAAAGTCATCTCGCCTAATTTTTCTCTAAATACACTCCCTCGTTCTACTGCTCTAAATATATATGGTCCGAGATTTTTTTTCATTTATATTTTGTTTTTCAATTGTTCTTGTTCATATTAAAATACGATTAAATTTGGATGTGCACTAATTATTTAAATTATGAAAATTTTAAGAGCTAATCAAATTAGAACTAAAAAAAGAAGGATCTAGGTCCAATTGCGCACAAAGTTCACGGACTCTGCGTCTCGCTTCTCGTTAAAACAACTGGCGATTTTTATAGTTATATAAAGTTGTCTGCTGGTGACCACTATACGTAACACGCTGCCAAATAGTAAGTACAGTACTTGTATATATAAAGACAAAAGTGATGCTTTAGCAATGAAGAAATGAAAGAAATCTTAATAGTTTAATTAGTTGGCTATTTAAACTTTGATAAGAGATCGATTTTCTGTGAGTCTTTTCCCATTTCTCTTTTCTCTAATCCTAACTATATACATATATATATTTTTTTTAAAGATTATTTTTTTATCCGCAAACGATGTGAGAATTCAATAGTAGTAGGTTCAAAATATTTCCTTGCTATTTATATAGTTTTTATTTTTTTAATTTGTTAAAAGTGAACATATTTGGTTTCTTTTACATATTTATCGAGTTTCATTGCTACATTAAATTGGCATTATGAAAGAAAAGAACAGAAATACCAGAGATTTTGTGAAAATCACAGTAATCACATCATAAGAAATTACCTCAGACAAAATAAAAATTAACACCTAAAATTACATATAACTTTGAAAAGAGAACAAAAATGATATATTTTCCATTATTTTATTTTTTATTTTTACAGTTTTGATTAAATTCAATAATCATAATTTGATAGTATCACACAGAGATCGAAAATGATCACTTTATGACAAACTTAGAGAATTTGAATTTATCAAATAATTTTTAAAAGATTATTTTAAATCTATTTCTCCAAAAAGATGAGGAATCAGTTTTGACATTTTCTTTTTGTAAAGATAACTTTAGTTAGTATTTATTTTAATCACCAATTGTTTATAATCATAATCCATTAATTAAATTATATAGATAGAGGATTAATATAGTATAAGATGCCCACATAGTCCCCTTTTTTAGTCTAATTAAGAGATAAGATTATTTTAAATCTATTTCTCCAAAAAGATGAGGAATCAGTTTTGACATTTTCTTTTTGTAAAGATAACTTTACTTAGTATTTATTTTATTCACCAATTGTTTATAATCATAATCCATTAATTAAATTATATAGATAGTGGATTAATATAGTATAAGATGCCCACATAGTCCCCTTTTTTAGTCTAATTAAGAGATAAGTATGACAAACAATTAATGTCAATTTGGTAATCAAACTCTTCTTAAATTAATTAATATGTGACCTATGAGGTTCGGTGAGCTGTGATAATGGGTCACTTGCTTTGTGCAAATGTTGAAGATCTAGATTTAAATTTTGGGAGGGATAAAATATATTAAATATTTGCTTCTTAGTTTTCTACACTTTGTAGGCAAAGTTACTCTCGAAATTTATCTTCATAATAAGTTAATCTAAGTAGAGGTTTGTATCTGTCACGCCCCGAGCGAATCCTTGGCCTGGCTCAACTCTCAACGGAAGACTTACTCATCAATAAATGAACTCAAAAGAAAGCTTTAACTCAAAAGTCTCAAATACTTAAATTCAAAATATATAAGAATATTCAACAAGCCAGAAATAAGCAACTTAAGTCTTTAAAACATTAACAACTGAAAATGAAAAGACTCAAGAACTATTGTCTATCTATCTGTGAAGCCTCTACTAACTGAGATGGGCGTCAGGACAAGACCCACGACATCCTAATAACAAAATTGAAATGATAAAACATAAATAATGGATCCTCCGGAAGCAATGAGGCTCACCACACAACTCTGGAACTCAACTAGATCAACGAAGCGCTGGTTAATGATCATGGTTAACCTGTATCTGCATCATGAAAGATGTAGGACAAATTACGTCAGTACATGGAATGTACGAGCATGTAAGGGGATATATAAAACATGACATAAGCTTGAACTAGAACTGAAGAAACAACTTACCTCGTCTCAACTCAACTCAACCTCAACTCAATGTCAACTCATTTCAATATAAAAGCAATAACAATAATGCGATATAAAGAAAATATTTTTAAATAGTAGATAAAAACTCAATGTATTGAAAAATACAATATAACTCAATTTGTATGTAAAAATACAAAATAAACTCTATTTGGGAGATTCTCTAATTGACAACCATCACTATGAGTTATGTGATGATACAACGTCTCGCCCACGTTGTCAGAACTGTCCTATACCTTGTCGGGGTATAGAACTCTTCAACTAAGTGGATCTACTAAGCTATGCTTAAAAACCAATAAGGAATCATCTAAAAAGTATGACCCTTTCTACCCACGTCGGCTACATGGTTTATGGGGCTGTGAGTTGTTTGAACTCTCCCCCATATCGGTGCTCAATACTACTCCCAAAATATAACTTAGCTCATATGTTTTTTTAAAAAAATTTCCTCATCCACAACTTTGAGATTATTACTCAAAAAATTTCTTTGAAAAGAGATGTTACTTAAAACTCCTCATGAAGTCCTTTGAAAATCGGTGTTTCCCCTCATTTTAAATGTTAAAACATTTACTCTTGGGAATATTTAGTTTCCATATATTCATTTTGAAAAAAATGAAACTCAACTTTACTCTTCCTCAACTCAAGTACTCAAGTCTTTAAAACAAGTTTAAAAGATTTTAAAAGACTTCTCAAAAAGACTCGAAGAACTTTCAAGACTTTACTCTTAACTCTATCTTGAATTTGAATTATGAATTCGAGGGTTATGATTCATGTTATGAATGATCTCTCGATGTTTATACATTGTTTAGAGGGTGGATATCAAGTAGAAAACATAGGTACAATTCGAGAGAAGTCATACAGAAAGAAGGTCGGAAGGGTAGGGAATCTGGCGACCCTGGCGCACTGAGTAGCGTCCAGCCCTTGAACTACTGAAGGTAGTTGGGGCGCACTGAGTGGCGCGGTGTGCCAGGCCCCAAACTACAGAGCACTAGTTGGGGTGCACTGAGTGGCGCGGCTCCCCAACCCCCTGCCCAGACTTTGATGAATTTTCTTGCTTCAAATTCATGTCTAACTCCTTTAGAATCGAACGATTTCCCTCAAACTCTTATGGATTCTTAGACCCAACATAATTACAACGAAATCCACTCTAAATTACTCAAGAACAATACTCAAACACAAGATCCTCATAACAAGAACTCAACGAAACCTCATACTTAAATAATAGATCACAAACTTCAAGAATTCATCAAGAACTCAAATATACTCAATCTTTATGGATGGATTCGAATATGTAAATCATGTTTGACGTGTGGGTGAAAGAAACCAACACTATGAACTTACATACCTCGATTTGGTGAAATCCCTCGACAAATCTCACGAATCTTGACGAACGCCTTAAACCTTTCCTTTTTTCTCCTCTTTTCCTCTTCTTGAACTCTTCTCAAAACTCTAAGCGTATTTGGGATTATAAAAACTGACCCGAATCAGATTTGACCCAAAAAATATTACTAAATTCGTTTAAACCTGATAGGGTAAGGAAAAGACCAAAATACCCCTCATTAATTCGGGTAACTTTCCTTAAATGGACATGCTAACTTCAAATGGGCATATCTCCCTCATCCAAACTCGAAACGTAGCAAACTCAGTGGCGTTGGAAAGATGATTCAAAGACCTTTCATTTGACATCTTATGGGCCACCTAACACTTCATGTACCGAAAGTTATGGTCGTTTGAAGTTGACCCAAAACTCATAACTTAAGCATAACTTGTAAAATTTCAGATTTGGCTCTTTCCAAATTAGTTGTTTCTAAATTTAACTCTTTCAACTACCGAGGTGTTACAGTATCATCTCTAGTAGCTCCTCTAAATAGACTTTTGTTTTAATTAATTTTTTTATTTTGACTTGATATAAAGTTTTAAAAAAGGCAAAAAGGCTCAAATGCATCATTGAATTTTGAAATAAGACTTATTTATGTCATCCGTTAAAATTTTCCCCCATTGATGTCATTTTCTTATGAGAAAAGGCTTATCCATGTCATTATTTGTTAACTAAAATGACATGGATGAGTCAAACTTTTAACGGATGGTATAGACTATAGATGAACCTTTTTTCAAAGTTTAATGACATATTTGAGTTTTTTTTCCTTTAAAATGATTTGATTAATGACGTAGCCGAATCATAATTGACAACGTGTAAAAAATAATAAACAATAGTATGGATGAGTCTTTTCTCAAATGAAAATGCATAGATGAATCAAACTTTTAACGGATAGATGAGCCTTTTTTTAAAGTACCATAGTATATTTGAATTTTCTTTCTTACGAAAATAAAGAATACTTTCGAATTTTGAATCATATAATTTTAAACTAAAAAATATGAAAAGGTTTAAAATATCTTAAACATATTGAAAATCATTCTGAAATCTCCTCCTTTGTATATTGAATCAAAATTGCCCATTATAAGAGTTGTATATGATTATGAAAACGTTAAATATTATTGATACAATGTGTGGTATTTATACATGAACAAGTATAGAAGATAAAGAAGTCTATTGAACGTAAGAGGCCTAAAGAGAAGAGAAATAACTACGTATATGACTCAAACATACTAACGTACTAGGACTCTATATCCTTATCCTTATCATGCCCCCTCAACATCGGCTCAATTTACTTGAGACCGATGTTGCTAACAAGGTGGACAAAGGACCTTCTGGGAAGTGCTTTAGTTAAGGCATCTGCTAGTTGAGCTCCTGTGGGAATGTGATGAACTGAAAATTTTCCACTTTCCACTTGGTCACGAACAAAATGAAAGTCAATTGCGACATGTTTCATTCGACTGTGAAAGACTGGATTGCGGCATAGGTAAGTGACACCAATGTTATCGCAAAAGACCTTAGAGGGACAAGGCAGCTTG